CTACTAGTAAGGCACTTGTTACTAAAAGCGATGCACTTGTTCCTAGTAGCGTCCTTGTTACTACTAGTAAGGCACTTGTTACTAAAAGCGATGCACTTGTTCCTAGTAGCGTCTTAGACCGGTTCCCCATCTTCTCCGTCTCTTCGCTGCTGAAGCGACGGTCCTTCTACGCCCACCGGCTCCAGACGACTCCCGCCCGCCTGACAAGCGTTCGGCCCCCGAGCGGCCCGACGAAGCGCCGACCTCGAAACGGAGAAGAAACCAAAAACCGAAAAGAAAACCAGAAGAACCAAAAACAAAGAAGGAAAAGGAGGGAACGGAGAAGAAATGGAAACAAGAAAAACCAAATCGAAAAGGAGGGAAACCAAACGATGTGGAAAGAAATGGAAACAAGAACACCGTCCTGAGTCCCGCAAGGTTTCAACAGATGGGAAAGGGCGGCAAAGGCAAAGGGAAGACCACCAAGGCGATGCGAAGAGTGTGTCGAAGCGTGCACCCCTGGCGCGGTGGGGATCGCGGTCGGTGGACGTCGCGGACGTCGCCAGGTGTGGACGGAGCCGAAAAAGTGGGAGTCGAAGGGCAAAGGGAAGGCTTCCGAAGGAGAAGACGGGCGCGAGCGGAACGGACCTCGTTGCTTTTCGCGTCGAAATTTAGTAGTTTCTTGTTCCTAGTAGTAAGGCCAGGAGCCCCTAGTAGCGTCCATGGTTGTAGTAGCGATGCCCTATGCTCCTAGTAGCATTTTGTTCCCGGAGTGGTCTGATATTGTGTCGCTGTTGTCCTGTCTTCGTTTGATAGCGACGGAGTCGACAATGTTGATCCGGAAGAGTCAGAAGGCGGAGAAAGGACGGGATTTTTCAGCGGCTTCAAGTGGAAGATGTGTCCGTGCAAACTCAAGATCAAAAAACGAAGCAAACATTTAAACAGAAACACACTGAGAATCAGAATCCAATCAAAAGTAAAATATGTTTGAATGAATTCAATCAAAAGCATTTTGGAATTATCTGAAGCCTTGAGACTTGAGAGGCCGCTGGATTTGGGTGGAAGATGAGCCCTACCGGCCGAAGGGAAAAGGCAAAGGCAAAGGCGGCAAAGGTGGTAAGGCCAAAGGCAAGGGAAAGAGGAACTTCGGAAGAGTTCAGAACAGGTTTCTTCCTTTATGTGTTTCACAGACTCCAATTTCAGGATGTTGTTTTTTCCTTTTTCTCCTTGTCCTGAGCTTCGAAATAGAAGATCTTTGCACTTGCTTTAGTCGCTTCGAGGAAAATCTCATCTCCCACATTGGACATCTAAGGAGGGCAGCTCCTTTGAAGAGTGAGTTTTGGAACAAGAAGGCTCGTTTGTCGAATGTCTAAGCGTTCAAAGCGCTGAACATGGAAGAAGACAAAGCGTCACGAGAAAGGCAATTCTGTCGATGTCTAGAAAAAAAATCCGCTACTAGGAACAAGGGCATCGCTACTAGGAGCAAAGACGCTACTAGGGGATCCTGGCGCCATCGTCTCTCCTTGAAAACCGAAAAATGTCCGTTTCATCGCGGCGTAGTCTGCACAGCCTTCAGGTGGAAGCTGAAGGACGCAAGGAGATGGGCGACACCGTGTTGCCTGGCGTCATCCAACGCTACAGCTTTAAACAAGGAGCCTCAGCGGCACCAACGATGATGTGGCGTGTGATGTACGTGACGTATTGGTGGCAGTGAAAAAAGAAAAACACCTTTTGAAGTCAGTGATGTCGTTCTCCGTGTTTTTGTGCCATTCAAAAAGAAAGCCTGGACTGGACCTTGTGAAGGTTCTTAGCTCTTGTGAGATTTGGAGCAAATAGATCGGAAGTGAGACGAAAAGTCCTCTGAAGCTCCACTTCGGGATCGTGACAAAGGTCAGGAAAAAGGAGTTCACCAGACATGTGAGACGAGTCACCCAAAGAAGGGGATGCAAAAAAGAAGCTACTAGGACCTCCTGGCCTTACTACTAGGAGCAAGGACGCTACTAGTAACAAGAAGCATCGGTGGGACCCGTGGAGTCTCTCAGGATGGGGATTCATCAAGCCAGACAACTTGGCGAGTCCGGCGTCCCAGCGAACGCCAAGGCATCGGTTTGTTGTAGCAAGATTGCAGCTTCAATTTCATATTGAAGCAATGTTCGCTACTAGGGACTCCTGGCATCGCTACTAGGAGCAATGTTCGCTACTAGGGACTCCTGGCATCGCTACTCTTCATTCGACTTCAGATTGGTTTTGGTTTTGGACTCCACGAAACTGCCATTCTTCGACGTCGCTCCAAGTTCTCGAAGCCGACCTTGGTTGGCGAACCGAATATGTGGCCGACCAGTGCCTCCTTTTCATGTGTATCATGGTCCTTAGAAGCACTTTCATCACCACATGGCATCAGCCTACCTTGTGCATCTTATCAACTCGTTTCTCTTCATTTTTCCCTACATGACTCTCCTCTTTTCAATCTCTGCCTGCGCTCTTTTATTTGCTCAACTCACCGAACAAGGATTCCCAAACATAGAGCGATAGGACCGAGAGACCGAGTACCTTTGCCCTGAAGTTTTGGGTGACTCGTCTTTTCCGAAAAAAAACGGTGCTGGTTCAAGTCGAGGCCTGCCGGGCCAAGTGAAGAAGAAGGTCAACGAAGCGGAAGCCGCCGCCGAGGCTGAGGGCAAAGAGGCGCTTCTACATCCTGCAGCGTCGAACGTTTCCCAGCGAACCCATAGGTGCTGAGTGTGCTTAATCTTGTGTTTCTTGGTGGGTTTGAAGAGCAAAGATGTTCAGCACCTTTGTTCAAAAAGGGCCTGCCTGGAAGTTTGCAGTGTGTGTTTCGCTCTTCAACCGACGGAGGTGAAGGAGCGTGGCCTCTTGTACTTTCGGAAGCCTGATGTGAACCACGAGGAAGGCGGAGCATGGGCGAAGGTAGCTGTTGAGGGAAGGGGATATGGCCGGAGCAATTGCGTGCGCTCTGACCAACACTAATCAGTGTCCACCCCAAATGAAGAGATCATCAAATGTTTGTTTGATCGGTGACACGCAGGATGCTTCAAGGGCCTTAAAACTTTCAGGTTCCTTCGGACGTTTTGCTTGTTTGAGCTAGGGGCTCCTGGCCTTCTACTAGCAAGGGCGCTACTAGGGGCTCCTGGCATCGCTACCAGGAGCATTCTTACTAGTAACAAGAAGCAAATAGCTAAGGAGGAAGATCGTTTCCGCTGCGGCTTTCGGCTTGGGAAGCCCGCCCCGCTGGACCGGCACCGAGACCGGTCGGCAGGTTTCAAGTTGACGGAGGGCACCTCGGTGACCTTCCGAGTTTACATCGACAGCCTCGGCGCGGGAGCACTCGACGTCTCCATGGCCTGAGATGGGATGAGAGGAAGAAGAAGAGAAGCGATGCATTTGTTGCTAATAGCAAACATTCTTACTACTAGTAAGGCACTTGTTACTAGTAGCGATGCACTTGTTCCTAGTAGCTTCTCAAGCTGTTCGTTTTTGTGAGTTCGGAATGTTCGGGTCTTCACCACCCGTTGGGGTCGAGCTCCACCGGAAGAGCTAGTCCTCAGACGGAAAGGTCGTGACACGAGATGGATCGATCCCTGTGGTCACAGCACAGCGATATCCGACTGCGGTCGCTTCAAAAAGGCAGAACCAACGAAACGACCTCCACAAGTGACCTCCCAGCACCAAACTTCAAAAACCCATTTTTGCAATGGCTTCAGCTTCGCATGGTAGCACCATACTGCTTTCGGATGCCACCAAACAAGTGCAGTGCCAAGTCTCTCTCAATCTTTGGCTCAGTCGACGCCCTCGACGTCCCAAACCCCGGCCTCAATCGGTCGCGGGGAGCATGTTGTTTGCATGACGCTCTTCATACGTCAACTCCAAACCCCGGCCGCCTGGGCTTGGGCCTTCGTTTTTGCCTTCGCCCACCACGCTTGGGCTGCGCGACCTGCATTGGGCTACGGCGCTCGCGGCCACAGCTTGAACCATGATGCCAACTCCTTTGGCCTCCAGGAGATCCACCGAGAGAACGACGAGTGTAGGGAGAGAAGGATATAGAGAGATGTAGAAAGAGTCGAGGGGGCACAGAAAAATGTAAAGCATGAACGCGCTT